ATATAATTTTTTTAGATCGGAAGAGCGTCGTGTAGGGAAAGAGTGTAGATCTCGGTGGTCGCCGTATCATTAAAAAAAAAGAGGGGGGGGGGGGGTGCGGGGGGTGCTGTGAAGGGAACCTCAATAAGATTTATCTGGATTCCCTAATAATAAAACTAGTACTAGACATGTCTAGTACCTTAGCAAATGTACAATACAATCAGATAGTTCATCAAGAATTACTAAATCAACAAATTGATTCACGCCTAAATTCGCAAGGCTATCATCGCATTGATTTCCCTTTCTAAGCGTGTGTATCACAGATATATTGAACGAGTTGATGATTAACTTGCAAATGTCCACCACGACCTTGAAAGGGCGGCTAACTGATTGGGTTCCAACCAGCAGATTGGAAGCTTCTAAGGAGTCAGTCTCCAAGATGAAGCTCCCACTCATATCCAGAATCAGTTGTGGACCTTGTTGAATGGCCTAGAGTTCAGCTTTAAGATTTGTGGTGTGATTAATTCTTCCAATAAAGCCCTTGATCCATTTCCTCTATCATCCGTAAGAATGCCTCCAATACTAGCTGGACCTGGGTTGCCTTTGGAGCTTCCATCAGTATTGACCTTGTAGTATCCAGGTAGAAAAACCCAATTACTCACTTACTCAGTCTACCTGAAAGCATGCAACTTCTCAACTTGCCCCTTATCAAAAACTTCCCTCTCTGGGCTTCCATCAGTGTTTTTCCCTTCTGGTCTTTGGAAATGCTGCTATGTGTCAGTTCACGTGTTAATTCACGAAAATGCTGCCAAAAAATATTTTTTAGTAAAAAATATCACAAAAATAAGGTGACAATGTCATCACATGATGTTACTAACCAGAATTCATTACCAGTAATACAATGTTCATATCTTCCTTGTAGTCATTCGTGTCATAAACTCCACTGCATTATCGTTACTTCTAATTTTATCTTCTCTTGGGTTTTGCTCTAATCAGGTGGGTTTTCGAGAAAACATCCAATCCTCATAATTGTTGCCATCGTCCTTCCCAGCTATTGTAGCTATTGTCTGGGTTCGATTCTCACTATGCATAAGTGAGTGAAGATTGAAGGGAGGGGTGCGTTAACAGAAAATAACGACTACGCCAACTAGGTGATTTGCAAGAAAGAGCACATGAAATAGATGGAGAGGCTGTAGAAGAAATTATCTTCTCCATCACTCCATCCCATTAACAGTAGCAACCGGCCACATACCATAACCTGATTCCTTCAGCCTCCCATGCGCGCAGGCGTGTGTTTCCAGTCTAGCCAGTGCCCAGCTTGCTTTTGGAGCACAATACAGTGCCAACGGCATCTAGATGTTGATGAGTGCGGTTATGACTCAAATCCAACTCCTCAATGGATTCTATACTGCCTAATTGTACGCTAAATCTACAATACCTGCAAAACCGAGAACACAGATACATGACATGCAACAGAGAGTATATTACCCTTATACAAGGATAAAGGCAACCAACATAGTTCCATAGTTCATTCTTACAGATCTCTCAAAACTATGTCTGCATCACCCAGCCACTTTGTTATATGGAAAACTCTAGTGGCATTGTGACCCTTCATTATTCTTGACATAGATACGGACTGCAATAGTTTACACTAGGCATGACATAATTCCGACCATCAATCCATCCCGCTCTTGCGCTTGAAGATTTTCCATTGTTTCAGTATGAAGGCGACTCCCTCTTTCAAAGTAGCTTTCCGACCTTCAGGGTAGTTCCACAGCTCTGAAATGATATATGTTCCACTTGGATTGTAATCATTGATTTCGGTCAAAGCTGTTGTGACAGCCTTGTAGACTTCATCACCAAATTCATTCTTCAGACCTTTCAACTTTTCATCTTCATCATGTAGAACTCTCTGCACCAGCACTATCAGTTTTGTGTAAACCATCACATCACATACTTAAAAGGAAGAACACATAGAGCGAAAAGGTTTTACTGGACAGTTACAGAAATTCTATATTAAGAATAATTTTTGAAATAGATCAATTGCTGCAAACTAATATAAAACAGAAAAAATATGGGAAACCATTGTTACTTCTCAATGCTTATGCTTCTTTGTCGATTCTGTTACATGCTCATGCACAAATTCAAATGAACATGCACATCAACTACATACATGAAGGAATATATTGACAAGCAAATTCCAAACTACCAACATGGAGGACATGCATGTCTTGTCACAGATATGACCGCAGGGTAACACATAGTGGTGAACTCCAGCCACATCACAGACAAAGGGGTGTGTGTACAAGTCATAGAGATTGTCTCTAACAAATAGAAAAGCAATGAACCAATTTGGAGGGCATTACTCAAGCTAACTATTTTGCGAACAAAGATTTATGGTAAGGAAACGAAGTTTGAAAAAGCAGAATCACCAGTCCATTTTAGATTGTTGCAATGTCTTGTGTGAATGGAAATTCGAAAGTGAAATCTTATATCCCAAAAGTGAAATGCTAGCATAGCAACCCGAACTAACTGAACTTTCGGGTTTTCTAGTGAATAAAACGAACTTTTCTCTAGATGTCCTAGTCTCAGATTTCACCAAACTTGTCAATGGATGCAATATCACAGCCAATCGACATAGTCAGAGAATGACCAGTTCTAACATGCCTCATTGGGATTGCTAGAGGGGGAGACAGAGACAGAGACAGAGACAGGAAAAAGGAGAGTACAAGATTATGCCACAATGGCAATTGGCAAAAAAGTAGCTTTAATTTTTTCGCTCACCAATTCCAAAAGGAGGGCACCAATCCAATTGTGCTGTAAAGCACCCAGCCTAACATAAGAAACTATGGACCGCAGTCCACATATTTTGATATATCATGCCACACATTTAAGCCAAAGAAAAGAGAAGACAGAGGGAGAGAGTTCGTCATATTTTGAACCTTGCAACTGTAATGCAAACACTACACAAAAATATTAACTTCATATTCCTGTAGAACACTGTTTACAGTAGAAAAATCATTGCAGAATTCCAATATAATGCTTCCCAAGTTCAAAAGTGCCTATGCTACTTTACCTGATGTTTTCCATGAACATTGATGACTCTGAAGGGATGCCAATCAGGATCTCGAAGATACTCCTTCCACAATGAGCACAATTCTGAAGCTCTCTCGTCTGCTTCTACTTCATTATACTTCCTCTTAATTGCTTCATGGAATGGTTTGTTGTCGAGCTCCCCCATTCTCTTAATACCTATATGAGCAGTCTCTGATAGGTCTTTCAAGCCCTACAAAGGAACTTAATTAGTACTTCTCCCAAAAGTTTAGGGCTGTGCCATGTGAAAAAGAAGTCCTGAAGCAAAATTAAAAGGAAATCTGATAAGCCAGAGCCAAATGCATCCACCACGATAAAAAGCTGAAGATCTACAACATACTAAAATGCACACATCTCCTAGGCCCTCTCAACAGTGGGAAAAAAATGGCCCTCACAACATTGAATCAAACACTGGGATCATCTATATCAAATAAAGTTCAAGTGAGAAAAGGAAAACAATACAAAAGGGGAGAGACATAGAGCTACAGTAAAACCAAACAAAAAAATAAACAAATACAGAAGAGAAAAAAAAACAAAAAAACAAAATCATTAATCATCATTCGAAGTAGTTCTGGTGCAGTGCACTACCAACTACGCAAGTTCTTATGCATGCATGCATTCTTTTTTGCCTTTTCATTATATCAAAAAGGATCCTAGTTATCTGCATAATCTAGTCTTAGCAACACGCATGGCTAAAGGGCCATGCCTAACTCTCAGGAGCACAGATAAAAGTCAATACTTGTGAAGATTCTTTCAGACAATCTACAATCACAAGCAACTTCTATACAGAAGCTGAGAAGATTATTGATAGTGTTTTCCGATAAAAATTTATGGTATGCAAGGCATATTGTAATTATACCGACTGATGAAGAAGAAATGAAATTAAAAGGACTTACATTAATCAGTTCTTTACGAGCTTCCTGAAGCTCATCATTGCTCTTGAGCTCCTTCACTATTAAAGCTTGGTTCAATGATTCTAAATCCTCAAATTCTCCTTCCTTTTCCCTCAACATTGTCTGCATTGCCTCCACCTTTTGTAAAACTTCTAAATCACCATCATCTCCCATGTGCTTCATAACATTTAATGTTCCTCTCAGACGCTCAATTTCTAGCTCCACTGCTTGCTTTGCATCCAGTTGTTCTTCCAGCTGAATGATTTTCTTATGGAGATCCTCTTTTTGCTTCTGAAGTTAGTAATCACATCCATGCCACATATTATAAGATGTTTGCACTTGGCATATATAGATTCCACTAATTACTCAAAGGAAAATATAAACAGTAAAGCACCTTCTGTATATCTGCCAATTTCATTACATTTTCATCAGTTTTTTTCTGCTCTTCAGCAGCTGTCTGAAGTGAACTATTTTCCATAGTATTCTGGAAGAAAATCAAAGCATGGTTTCTCAACAATTTCTAGCTAAGTAAACATTTTAAGCACAATAATCTCCAAGTACTGCTGTAGACAAACATATAAAATAGCAGCCCCAGTGCACAGCCACAGTGCATATTAATGTTTCTTTTTGGCAAACTGTATTATGGTATTAAACTCTGATCTGTAAAAATAACCGCAGACAAAAGGACTGTAAGGTTGAACATAGACAAAACAAGCACTTGCAGGAATAGTACTGCTTAATGGTTCACATGGGGATCTGTGGAGTGTGAAAGGGGCAACTGCAGCAATCAAAAATCCCAGTTACTTAGTAATTAACTAATTACAATTAGGATCCAGGAATTTATGAGCGCTAATCATATCACAATATCACATCCAGTGACACCAATACAACATTGCTACCAATGAACAGGCAAATGTGATAAAACTAGATTAAGTATGACTTTGGACATGAGTCATCCATGATACTAATCACTAGAGTCCCATCCAAAGGGTACTTCCCCTCAATATCTGGTGGAGGACACAATAATAAGTATCTTAAACAAACCATGGAACACAAAACTTTGAGGATGCAGTCAGGCTAACTTAATCAGTCTAAATACCGATTATGACACCATACTGCAAATACAGATTTCATAATAATTAATCCATGTAACTAGGTAGAAAAGGGTCAATTCCCTTGGTCTTCCCCTTCGGAAAGCATTGACCTGTTGTAGCTATATCAATAATTACTAGTCCTCAGAATAAATACTGACGGAGGCTTTTCTTCTTTTTTTTTTTTTTTGCCACAGGGAGGGGGGATGTTCAATTCTACAGTTTTCATCAAATTGCAAGAAAGAAGCAAATTCAATATAAAGCATGCAACCACAAGCATGAAATGCTGAACCTTTTCAATCTCTTCAAAGAGCTTTTTTCTTTCGTTTTCATTTTGCGCCTCACGTTTCTCCAATTCTTCACCCTTGAGCTCGAGCTCTCTCTTTTGAGTTTCCAATTGCAGCTTAAGCTTTTCATGGTCATTAAAAATCTTCTGAAAATGTTCCCGCGCACTTGACTGAATCTTTTTTATCTCTGGTTACCAAAAGCTACTATCAATGCAGATACTTGACAAAGTCAAATCCTAATTATGAGAACAACAAAAACTCAAATTGTTGCTGTTTGCAGAAAGCTAGGCTACTCCGGCTTATCTATAGCAGAACCACACATGTACTAGATTAGACTTTCTTCAACTCATATTAAAAAAAGTAAGCTGAAATAGTAATAAAGCAAGGGGACAGCAAATACCTTCATTGTAATCCAGATAAAGCTCATCTTTTTTAGCAATTAACATGCTAAGGGACTTTGAAGTCTCATTGCATTTTTCCTCCATCTCTTTTAAGTGCATCTTCTTAACCTCGATGACATTTGTCAAATTACATACTAGCTGACTTGTCTTACGGGCTTCATCCGCCATTATATCAGAGATGGTTCTAATGTCTCCCATCTTATGGAGATGTTCCCCAATTATGCCATTGGAATTGTAGTCATCAGCACGAGCTACCCAAGCATAAAGATCAGAAGCATCAGACTTTTGAGCATTCACTGCCTCCCAGTCCTTTTTCCCATGATGATCAGCCTCGTAAGCCTTCTCAAAAGACATGGCATTGTTGAACCCAGACCAACCATTATTGAATTCCACAACCGCACTTCCTGAATGGCCACGATAATTCCAGAGAGGGTGCACTCTTGTGGGATTGAAGCCTCTCCATATAAACTGGTCCCTTAGCTTAGAACCACTTTCCCCAACACAACGCCCGTCCTTCCTTTCAGTAGGAAGGTTAACAACAATTCCTATCCATGGCCACACAAACATCTCATCACCATCATGATCTGCTAGAGGATCAACCTCAGCAACAGGTTCTGACGGACCCACGACAACTGCTAATTCTTTCTCCAAGTATTTTGCCAATGCTAGATGATTGGCTTTATCTCTTGCACTTCTCTTTTGTGAATTACACTTGCCCANAAATTGCAAGAAAGAAGCAAATTCAATATAAAGCATGCAACCACAAGCATGAAATGCTGAACCTTTTCAATCTCTTCAAAGAGCTTTTTTCTTTCGTTTTCATTTTGCGCCTCACGTTTCTCCAATTCTTCACCCTTGAGCTCGAGCTCTCTCTTTTGAGTTTCCAATTGCAGCTTAAGCTTTTCATGGTCATTAAAAATCTTCTGAAAATGTTCCCGCGCACTTGACTGAATCTTTTTTATCTCTGGTTACCAAAAGCTACTATCAATGCAGATACTTGACAAAGTCAAATCCTAATTATGAGAACAACAAAAACTCAAATTGTTGCTGTTTGCAGAAAGCTAGGCTACTCCGGCTTATCTATAGCAGAACCACACATGTACTAGATTAGACTTTCTTCAACTCATATTAAAAAAAGTAAGCTGAAATAGTAATAAAGCAAGGGGACAGCAAATACCTTCATTGTAATCCAGATAAAGCTCATCTTTTTTAGCAATTAACATGCTAAGGGACTTTGAAGTCTCATTGCATTTTTCCTCCATCTCTTTTAAGTGCATCTTCTTAACCTCGATGACATTTGTCAAATTACATACTAGCTGACTTGTCTTACGGGCTTCATCCGCCATTATATCAGAGATGGTTCTAATGTCTCCCATCTTATGGAGATGTTCCCCAATTATGCCATTGGAATTGTAGTCATCAGCACGAGCTACCCAAGCATAAAGATCAGAAGCATCAGACTTTTGAGCATTCACTGCCTCCCAGTCCTTTTTCCCATGATGATCAGCCTCGTAAGCCTTCTCAAAAGACATGGCATTGTTGAACCCAGACCAACCATTATTGAATTCCACAACCGCACTTCCTGAATGGCCACGATAATTCCAGAGAGGGTGCACTCTTGTGGGATTGAAGCCTCTCCATATAAACTGGTCCCTTAGCTTAGAACCACTTTCCCCAACACAACGCCCGTCCTTCCTTTCAGTAGGAAGGTTAACAACAATTCCTATCCATGGCCACACAAACATCTCATCACCATCATGATCTGCTAGAGGATCAACCTCAGCAACAGGTTCTGACGGACCCACGACAACTGCTAATTCTTTCTCCAAGTATTTTGCCAATGCTAGATGATTGGCTTTATCTCTTGCACTTCTCTTTTGTGAATTACACTTGCCCACACCACTTGCATGCTGTAAGAGTTCCTTGTATAGGTAATCTCGCTTTCTTTTCTTTGGACAGTATGGGCAAGTGTAAGCTTCATTGGATATTCTGATGAGGTGGCTTCCACTCTTCAATTCTTCATAAGCTATATCTTCATACTGATCTATTTTGGATTCACTTACGTCTGCGTCTTCCCCAGAACTATAATCCATTTCACTTCCCATCAAACCCACAAAAGCAGACCCAGGAGTGCAAGACAATGCAAATATAAGTTTCATGAAGAGCAAAATTGTTAAAATTGAACAAGCAAATATGTAAATCATCAATAAATCGACTTATTCTAGGACACGTTATCAGAATTGATACCTAAGAGTGTGTTCAAAGGTTAGAAATTGTAATTAGCACAATTCAAAATGATCATGCATGGGCCATGTTTGGGACAATCCTGACCTACAGTTGGACACAGTTCAGTCTTCTACTCCCCCACCTCAGGCTTAAAGAACAAAATCTTATGCAATTTTTTCTTGCCCTGAAAAAAAAAGAAAAAAAAGTGCATACTTCCTAATTTAAGTTTTCCATAGACAAATAAACGACTTAAATCAAGTTGTATTGAATTGAGAAAAGTTTAACCTTCAAAATTCAAAAAATTCAAACTGTACCTGTTCGTGGATAACAAAACTCGCATGCAAGCAGACTAACATCAATTTTACATTACATTTATCAAAAAAATTGAACTCAATCGGCTAAGCATATCCAAGTACACGATGTAATTGTGGTGGATTAGGTTTCTAATTGGTAATCAATTGAGCATAATTTGAAAAACCTATTCACGCCCCTCTAGAATAGTGTCTTGAGCTCCACGTGTACTTCCGGAACAACAAAGACTAAAAATAATCGAAAAATTAGCAACAAAGATGATTCACAACCATGAAGAAATTCGGACTTTTGGAGTCAAAGCCTTCAACTGAAGCAAATGACTTATAAGAATTTCTTTACTTTCCATCCATTTTCTTAACAACCAAACAAAGGATAAACCAAAATCAAACACTCAAAACGAAACCATATCAGGTAACTACTAAAACACGAGCATGCATGAAACGAATCCATTCAAAAAGTATGGTGTTGCCAAAATTAAAATGTGAACAACAATGTAAATCACTCCAGTATACCAGACCATGCATAATGTACAATTATACATGCATATATAGATAAACTGAGAGAGATAGAGAAGATAGACAGAACTTACTCCAATTACATAGATTGTTAGATATTTTTGGCAAATGTGGACGGTGGGAACCCCAGATTTTGAAGCAAAAAAGGTAAGAGAAGATGAGGGAGACGAGGGTTTTTGAATTAAACGGAGTAGAGGGAGGGAGTGAGCGACGACCGAGCCTCAAGTCTCACTCGTCATTTTGGGTTTGATGAACAGAAGAATAAGACAAACGTACAGAATAATGGAGAAAGTGACTGGTGCACTTTTTAGAGTAAATTATACTTTATATCCACTGAACTATTATTTTTATTCCACTTTATGGGTGAATTATAAAATTTTTTTCGTTTGTTTAGTGGGTGAATAATAAAAAATACAAAAAAAAATTTTTAAAATTTTTATATGTTTAGTTAGCATGAAAAGGAAAATAAAAGAAAAATTAATTTGTTTTCATGCTTAAATTTTTTCACAAATAACTAATTTTTTTTGTAAAAAACCATAAAGAAATGTAAAAAAATTGTGATCTATAATTAACTTTTCATTTGACCATTTTTTTTCTTAAAATATTTTATTGGTTATTAATTTTAAAAAATTTTGGTATAAATTTAATTAATTATATAATTTGACCAAAAGACGTATGTGTTGGTGATTGTCTTAAAATTAGATTGAGTCACTTTTTTAAAATTTTGTAACTTTTAATTATAATTATATTTTTTAGATCAATTTAATATAACTAAGGGTAATTTAGATAATTATAAAAACAAATTTATAAATTTACTTTCTTTTATAAACAATAGAATGAAATTTTTTTTAAATTTTCTTGTAAATTTTTCATTCTAACCAAATATATGCACGAAAATATATTTCCTATCACTTTCTTTTCTTTCACTTCACTTTCTATCATTTTCACTTTTCATCATTTTTTTCTTCCTAACCAAACGAACTTTAAGATATTAATTTTGTTTCATATCACTATAACGAAAAACTTAAAAATTTGTCAAAAGAAAGAGGAAAACATCTAAAAATTTTATATCAAGTTCTTGGTACCATTTTATTTTATCTCTTTTTCAACCAAATGGTTGTTAGAAAAAAAAAAAGGTTAGGCAGAGGAAGAAAATTTGAAACTTAGGAAGGATAAAATCATGGATAAATATTTTTCTTTATTTTTGATCTATACATGTGAAATAAACAAATGTTTATTGATAGTACAAACCACTTACGTATGCATTTACATACAAAAAATTGATAACAATTATTTATTAAATTTTCAAAGACTAGGATCATGCCACGTCATATGGTGTACAAAAATTATTATTATTTTTCAAAAGTGATATTCATATCATTATTATTTTTCAATTAACTCCTCCCGTTAATTTTCAGCCGTTAAAAGTGACGGATAATAGCCATGTTTAGATCACCAAGTAGCTGAAATGACAACATTGCCCTTTCTCAGATTCCCCCCGGTTGCTAAACCCAACAGCCGTAGACCCCTCATCTTCCCCAACACACTGTTCACACTCTTTATGTCCGACGGAAGTGAATCCACCTTTCATGTGAAACTCCTTTACTCGCAATTTCCTCTTCTGTCACTCTCACTCGCGGTGAAGCACCCACTAAGAAACCCCTTCACTCATAGATCTTTGTCTCTCTTTCTAACGATGAATCTCCTATGAACCGCCTCGACCACAAATCTATCTTTTTCTCCCTAACGGTGGAACCTCCACTATGAAACACGCTCCCTGCAAACCCTTACGTGCCAACACCATCAGCTACAACCAAAAACACTGTTTCATCGCCGCTGCTCCACCCAACATCACTGACACCACAATCGACACCAATGAGCTCTTTCTCGTCAGATTATTCTCTCTGTGCTCCGAGGTTGAGCCGATTGGAGTTCAAGGCAAGAGATGTATTGATATTGTATAGAGAAATGGAGAGATAATTTGAGTTATGTGTGTTCTTTGCTGCTAGACATTTGTTGTGATGTTTTGGTTGTTTTTGTTTGTGTCATTGTGGAGTTGACAGTGAAGGGGGGATGTTGTTGTGCTGGGTTTGGGGCGGCTGCCAAATGGAGGTGAAAGTGCTGAGGAGGGGCTGTGAGTGCTGGAGGTTTGTATTGATGGGTTGTTTAAGCTAGTTGATTTTGGACGGTGTTTGTGCTTAATTTGGGCATTTCAAAAATAATTTGGGGAAGTAAGGATGAAGATTGAAGGCATAATTGTATCTTGATTAAAAAAAAAGAAAAAAGAAAAAAGAAAGGCATAATTGTACTTTTATATAGTAGTAAATTATGATGCACATATACTTCGTTGAGGTCGACGTTGTTGAAGTTGTTAAGATTTCCTAGTTTGTAGGGTTGCTTCCGTTGTTGTTAATAAGACCTATTATTTAGGGATAAGCTATTTGATTCTGATTTAATTTGTATCACGTTATTAGTGGGCTGCATTTTTTCAGCATTCTGTTTTCTTTGTAAGGCTATTTAATGTCATGTTTGTTCTTTGATTGAATAATAGATTCTCCCAGTATTTGAGTACTCAAGGAAAAGTTTCCAACATCTAAGGTTTCCACCATTTGGTATCAGAGCTCCATCACGGGGCCTGAGTGAAGCTAATTTCATCATTCAACAACGACGCCATGACGACTGAAAGTAGCTTTGTGCAACTTGCAATTTCGAGGTTTGATGGACACTATGATCATTGGAGCATGCTCATGGAGAATTTCTTGCGTTCCAAAGAATATTGGAACTTGGTGGAGACTGGGATTCCTGCAGTAGCAAACGAGAGTAATCTCACAGATGAACGGAAGAAGACCATTGATGATCAAAGGCTAAAGGATTTGAAAGCTAAAAATTATTTGTTTCAGACCATTGATCGATCAATCCTGGAGACAATATTGAAGAAAGATACCGCAGAAGACATCTAGGACTCCTTAAAGCAGAAGTACCAGGTCACAGCACGCGTCAAACGTGCACAGTTACAAGCTCTTTGCAAAGAGTTTGAAATTCTGCATATGAAGGAAGGGGAATCAGTGAATGAGTACTTTGCACAAACTCTCACCATAACCACAAGATGAGGATTCATGGGGGGAAAAGATGGCAGATGTGGTGGTCATCGAAAAGATTCTGAGATCAATGACTTCTAAATATGATTATGTGGTATGCTCCATTGAAGAGTCAAATGATCTCGACATCTTGTCCATCGATGAACTCCAAAGCAGCTTGTTAGTACACGAGCAAAGGATGGGGAGACACACAGTGGATGAGCAAGCTCTAAATGTCACTTATGATGTCCAACAAGGTGGGCGAGGTGGATGCAATAGTTTCAGAGGAAGAGGACAGGGAAGGGGTAGAAATGGACCTGACAAGTCTACCCTCGAATGTTACAACTGTCACGAACTTGGGCATTTTTCAGTGGGAATGTCCTAAGAAGGGGAGGATTCAAAAGGTATCTATGCAGAAACCAGTGAAGAAATGTTGTTGATGGCTTACGTGGATATCGAAGGGGTCGACAGAGAAGAATTATGGTTCTTGGACTCGGGATGCAGCAATCACATGTGTGGCAAGAAGGAGATGTTCACAGATTTGGATAACACCTTCAAGAAATCTGTGAAGTTGGGGAACAATTCAAGTTTGGTTGTGCTAGGAAAGGGAAATATTCGTAAAGAAGTCAATGGAATCATGCAGGTCATCATTGGAGTATTCTATGTGCCGAACTTGAAGAATAATTTACTGAGCATTAGACAATTGCAAGCGAAGGGTCTTGTTTTTCTTATCAAAAATGGCAAGTGCGGGATTTATCATCTAGAAAAAGGACTGATCTGGGAAACCACAATGGCAACACATCGAATGTTTTTCTTACTGGCTCGCACACAATCACAAGGACAGAAGTGTTTCAACACTATTGTGGATGATCAACCTCAATTATGGCATCGTAGATATGGACATTTGAGTTGGAGCGGTCTAAAAATCCTTCAACGAAAGGATATGGTGAAGGGCTTACCAAAGTTCCCAGTACACACGAAAATTTGTGAAGAGTGTTTGGTGGGAAAGCAACAACGAGATCCATTTCC